AATGTATATATATCACTGTAATATCGTATACTATAATGTATATATATCACTGCAATATCAAATATTATAATGTATATATATCACTGTAATATCATATACTATAATGTATATATATCAATGTAATATCATTTATTATAATGTATATATAACACTGTAATATTATATATATTAATCGAACGTTATATTGGCAACAGAGCCAACAGGTATAACAGAGAGAGATAGCTTGCTGTCTATCGAGCAACTGCCCTCGTCTCAGTATGCATGCTACACATACAGGGATAGATAGGACATACAACAACAACTCATGTATTAGAAACATACATCATCCTACACCAACTCATGCCTAAGACACACGCACACATCCAATATATGCTCACCTGTTCTTCCAGCCAAGACGTTGAGACAGTTGCGTTCCGTCGCATTCGTATTGCACTCGCCCAGATAGCGCAGAAACGCCTTCTTCGGCAAACTGCGAATGTCTAAACAACTGCGAGAACAAGGGGTGCGCATGGACAGGTTATGAGGATAGTACGTGAGTGGGTATGTAATGTATCTGCATAGTGTGGTTGGAATTAATAATAGGGCTGAAGTGTGGACTACGCCGGCGAACAAACTGGCAGCAAATTAGTTAAATCCCCCAGAGTATGCAAACACACACACATATATATATATATATAAATAGATACATATAAATAAAGATATGTGCGTGTGCATGTACATATATATATATATATATATATATAATAAATACATCTATAATACATACGTACATGCATTCATGTATCCATACATACATGTATACCATACATACAGGTACATACATACGTAATACATATATACCTTTCTATATCTATATATATACATATATATGTGTGTGTGTGTGTGTGTGTGTGTATGTGTGTACCTGTTCACATCAACCAACCCACACACGTGACACATACTCTGTAAACAAGGTGTGCAGCGTCCATTGCGTCGTCAGATGTGTTGGTACTGAGGGGATGGGCGTCTTCTCCGTATCGCTCTGTACAGATGCAACCACTGCACACGCTCGTCTGTCCCACAGACCAAGTCTTTCTAGAAGTTCCTGCACCTCTCTAAGATATACAAGTGCATGTATATTACATAAACACATGTGTGTGGAATTAGTGATTTCCTAAAATGTACAAGTATTTGTGTGCATGTGTATTACATAGTTCATGTGTGTGGAATTAGTGGTTGCCTGAACTTCCCTAAGATATACAAGTACATGTGTACATGTGTCCGTGTGTGGATACCAGTGGTTGCCTGTACCTCTAGGATATACAAGTACATGTGTACATGTGAAGTTCATAGTTCATGTGTGTGGATGTTAGTGGATACCTTTGCCAAGCCTATAGCACATCTCCACAATAACAAACGACGAGAATGTTTCGTTTCTCATCGCTGTTGAGAAACTATGAGTCGTAATAATGCGTATGTGAACGAGAGTAAGCATAAAAGCCTCACTCCAACCAAAAACACTTCGTGTTAATATCTACAAATAAGGAACCCTTCAATCACACTCACTCCGGCACAGGACAAAATGAGTGTGGACATGAATGAAAGCCCGTTGAAAGCTTGAAGCCTAACTCAACCAAATTGTGATATATATATATACATATACATATACATATATATACATATACACATACATATACATATATATATATACATATACATATACATACAAAT